ATTTTAGGCAAGAACCAGGAGTCCAAAATAATTTTACTGGTAGGGAGTACTATTTATAAGTTTGGAGAATTGATTGCTCCAGAGCATAGGAGAGGTAAACTCACTGGTGAAATTACATCTTAATTCAATTTTTATCATTTTATTTTAAAAAATGGATTTTGGTTTGTTACTGAAAGCTAGAGTTGATATTCAGGAAACATCAAATATTGTATAATGGCTACTAACTTACCTCAAACACTCGATTAAACTGCTAAAGCACAAACAGTTATTGAGTGAGGTGTTGAGACAGTGACATTTATTGGAGACGGATACTTGAATGGGAATTTTGAGTTTGTTAGGCAAAAGCCATGAGACTAATTAAGATTTTAACATATTTATTACTGTTTATTGCTGTTTATTACTATTCTATACCTTTATATGTGATATGATAAGAAGCATATTCTAGAGTCCCAGATCATTAAGTTTATAAAGTTAACATCATTATAATGATGGTCTTTCTTTCTATTCTTTCTTTCTTTGTTCCCTTGTTTCCTTGTTTGTTTTATGACTCCTTTCATAATGATTCCAGATTTCATAACCATCAGTGCTTTTTTCTTTTTCATTGACTGCTAAAACTGCTTGTCCCAGGGCCTTGACACTTGATTTGTGTTATTTGGCACACCATTAAGGATGTAGGGAATATTCTTTGCAATGTGGAAAGTTCAAGTAAGTGGTTAAAATGTCACCAGTTCAAAATAGAATCTTGTATCTTATTTAAATTTGTGATGAGTCAAAATTTAAGGATATTCAACATGGCTTGAATTCAAAATAGAATTTGCTTTGTACAGAATACTCTAAGACATTATCGACAAACTACTAAAAGCTAAGAAAATGGTAATTTTGGGATACACAGAATAATTAAAATTTAACTTAGTATAATTTCAAATTTTCATTTGACGAGAATTATGTTAAAGTGTTTGACATTTGTTCTGGATATTTGACAATTTACTATTCAGTATTTTTTTGTTAATGATGGTCAAAACATTTTTTAGATTGTTCTATAAAAACTTTGTATTTAATAATTTTAAAAGATTATGACTATGAATTAAGGATTGTCAGAATTGAATGAGTTTTGTTACACAAACAGTAACAACAATAATAACAAATACTGCTTTTTTTTTTTACCGGTAATATCAGTAGCCATCTTTTTCATTTATCTATCTATCTACCTATCTATCTATCTATCTATCTATCTATCTATCTATCTATCTATCTATCATCTATCTATCTATCTATCTATCTATCTATCTATCTATCTATCTATCTAAGATTTCTGTCACTTCCCCACCGCCACTTCCCATTTCCCTCCCCCTCCCCCAGTCGAGTTCCCCTCCCTCGTCAGCCCAAAGAGCAATCAGGGTTCCTTGCCCTGTGGGAAGTCCAAGGACCACCCACCTCCATCCAGGTCTAGTAAGGTGAGCATTCAAACTGCCTAGGCTCCCACAAAGCCAATACCATTGCCATTGTTCTTGAGTTCTCAGTAGTCCTCATTGTCCTCTGTGTTCAGCGAGTCCGGTTTTATCCCAGGCTTTTTCAGATCCAGGCCAGCTGGCCTTGGTGAGTTCCCAATAGAACATCCCC